AACATCTGACATAACCCTTGTGCATTTATCAAAACTGGGAGGTTGACATTGGTACAGCAGCCTTATTCAGATACTGCTCCAGTTTTCCCACCAGTGTCCTTTTCCTGTTCCAGGATCGTGCCTGGGCTCCCACGTTGCATCTTTTTTCTCCATAGCCTCCAGTCTGAGACAGTCCCTCGGTGTGTCTTTCCTCATCTGTCCTCTTACACGAATTATGGCTGGTGAGGTTGACGGCAGTGTCTCCACTGTGAAGTAGTTTGGCTTCCCTTTTGTAGTTAATATATTGGGGCGATAACCTGGAAACTGTGGATTTTTTAAACTTTGCTTGATTAAGTAAATCTTGGGTGCAGGTTTGTGGACACAGACCTAAGTCATTTTAATTTAGGAATCATGAAGTACCATTCAGAACTTAAACAAATGAATACAGGATCTTCACATCCATGAATAGGTTGTCATTTCACTGACATATTCATTTAAAAAAGGAGGGTCAGGGCTTCCCTGGTGGTGCAGTGGTTGAGAGTCCGCCTGCCGATGCAGGGGACACGGGTTCGTGCCCCGGTCCGGGAAGATCCCACATGCTGTGGAGTGGCTGGGCCCATGAGCCATGGCCGCTGAGCCTACGGGTCTGGAGCCTATGCTCCGCAACGGGAGAGGCCACAGCAGTGAGAGGCCTGCGTACCGCATGCATGCATAAATAAATAAATAAATAAATAAAAAGAGGGTCTTTGAGAAGAGTCTGTCTTAATGTCACTCCTGTGCCAGTGGTGAGTAGGTGCTGCACGTACAGTGCTCTAATGGGAGCTGGAGCTGTGCTGCCCTGCTTCTCGGGGGTACATGGACCACAGGAGCACTTCCTGTCGCAGGAAACAGACTCCCTCAGGAATAGAATAAAGCCCTCCTCTTTGGAGGACGCTCCCTCCATGGCAGGCACTTTCACAGACCCTGGAGCCAAATTGGAATCTGGGGCAGTAGCTTTAGTGAGGAAGGAAGTAATGGGACCTGTTTGCTTTGGATTGGGAGGCTTTGTGAAGGGAGGTGGGGCTGAGGTGGGCCCAGGGGTTGCTTCTCTTGAGGTGGTGATTAAAGGCCCTGTTTGAAGTTACATTCAGATTTATGTTTGTTGCTATTTATTTATTGCGTTAAAGCCATTTCAGGTTTTCAACCAAGTTACTAGAAGCACTTTTTACCAAGTTGAATTTCCATCCTTGAGTAGCTGAGTCAAACTAATAAAATGGAATTTCTTAGTAAGAATGAATTATTAAGTTAAATGGAAGTGCTGAACTAGGAAAGCAGTTGATGCAATTTGTTCTCAAAGCCTTAAAAATGCTGCAGTGTTCATAGATCAAGGGCTGGCCGCGGTGCCCAAGCGTGGGGCGTTAATTTTCTTTCCTAGAGGATTTCAGGTTCACAGGATATCGGAAGTGCTGACTTGGCAACGAAATCCCATTTGTAACATGTTAGGTTAGGAAACAGATTGATTTATACGTTGATGTAATGGGTCAAAGCACAGTGTGTGCCTCCGAAAATGGAGAGCACATTAAATAAGAGCATTTTCAAAGGAAAGAAGCACAAACATTACAGGAAAAAGCGATCCTGTTATACGCTGGGTAAGGTTGGGGTATGTTTGGTTAGTTGATCCCTAGACGTGGTCCGCAGAGGCTTTTTATATTCCAGATGATACCTTCTTGAGAGTCTCTGATGGCCACAAGGATTAATCTTTCTGAACTCAGAAATGAATCACGGCAGCATATGAGCTGTCTGGACTGATTCCAGTTACCCTCCTTTTCCTTGGTGGGAACTGATGTGTGAGGAGCTGTGGCTGCCAAGCTGCCTCTTCCTGCTGCTTTAACCTGTGGTATTTTAGATCCTCTTTAGGGAAGGCACTGTTGACCATCTCTGCAGAAAGATCAAATGCACTTACCACCGATGTATTGACCTCAGTGGTTGACCCGTAAACTGAGCATTCGTACAGGTGGAACTCTTGTGGCCTTTCAGGCAACAGCCATAGCGAGCCACACGTGGACTGTCTGTCTTCTTCAATGTTTTTTTTTTTTTATTTTGCGGTACGCGGGCCTCTCCCTGCTGTGGCCTCTCCCGTTGCGAAGCACAGGCTCCGGACGCGCAGGCTCAGCGGCCATGGCTCACGGGCCTGGCCGCTCTGCGGCATGTGGGATCTTCCCAGACCAGGGCACGAACCCGTGTCCCCTGCATCGGCAGGCGGACTCTCAACCACTGCGCCACCAGGGAAGCCCTGTCTTCTTCAATGGGATGAGCGACTGCTTGCACAGTTTTGACTGTGGCCTGGGTGAGCTCATGTAATTGACTGATGCTGTTTCTTACCTGTATTCATTTTTGGAACTAAAGAGGCAAATGCCTCCCTCCCCCGCCTCTGTACTTCTGAAAGATTAGATACCACCCTGACATCCTATTTAATGTTAAAATATACCGGTCCGTAGAGAGAATTTAGAAAGGATTGCTCAGCGTCTTTCACGTTTAACTGTGGTAGTTCATTTATAGCAGGTTTAGGAAATACTTTCCTTCTAACTTGTAGATTTGGCTTTCTTGCTTACATATTTATCATGTCTTCCTGGATTTTCTTTGCTCGTTTCTGTCTGAGCTTTTGAAGAGTAGGAAGGAATGAATTTGCTGGAACACTGGTTTCGGTGCACAGAGCATCCCTGGGGTTTGCTTGCCTTTGTTTCTGTATGTACCACTTAATGTACTGTGTGCCCATTTCCCTCCGTATCATAACCCAAGTTTCTAGCCTTAATCCTTAGATATGCCTCCCAGAAGAAGAATGGCCAGTAGAAGAGGCATTTTTGTGCACATTTCCAGCTCAGTGTGAGAATTAAGTGCCTTTGTCGTGTGCATCTCTATACCTTTTAATGATCTGTTTGAATTAAACGCCATTAAGGTACTACCTATACCTTCTTTCCACAGATACCTTTAAATGTTTTTTCTTTCTTTGGGGGAGACAGGACTTCACACCAGTCTATAGCTTCACGTGCAGTTATTGTGAACGCACAGGATCTGTGTCTTCTACTTTAATAGACGATTATTCATCACAGTGGGGTGACAGTCTATTCTACTTAATAAAGTTGCTGACTGTTCTCCTCGTTGTATTTAACTGAGGTGTTTTTCAACCCTGATTGATCTTGGCAACATTTTAGATCCAGATTAGCTTTCTCCCAGCATCCAGCAAGTGTTCGTGCTTCCTTGTCTCGCGCTACTGGAAAGCAGGCTAACTTTAATAAGCTCCTAAGCAAAACGTGTAGGTGGTAAATTTGTCCTAGAAGATCGGGATGTATTTCAGAATCAAACGTAGGCTCCTAATTGGAAGGACCATTCATGTCTGTGTAACCAGTCTATCAGCACAAATGCAGGAGACTTGCCTGGAAAGCACACAGTTTTCCATATATTTTATAAGTCAGGGAATTCCCTGGCGGTCCAGTGGTTAGGACTCTGTGCTTTCACTGCCAAAGGCATGGATTTGATCCCCGGTCGGAGAACTAAGATCCCACAAGCTGCAGGGTACGGCAAAAAAAAAAAAAAAAAAAAAAGTCACATCTACTTTTTCTTGTTAATAGGAAAACCATTTATTACCAATGCTCTTTGCTCTTTTTGAAAAGATCATAATAGGCCAGATAGTCTAACCCGACCCCTCAAGTTTTAACATTTTAAAAAGATGTTTAATTTTTGTTTTGAAAGAACTTACCCATTAGGAGAGACCACAGAACTTTATTGTGAATGTAACCATCAATATTGGTATATCTTTAGATGCAGGGATGCCTGTGTTTTTTCTGGTGCACGAGACTTTGTAAGAGCCTCACTGTCATCGTACGTAAATGTTTTTTCCCACCTGTAATTTGTGAGCTATTGATGGCTACGGATAGTTGATTTTTTTCCTAACACGAGATAAAATTGTTCATGAAATCCCTTTTAGTGTTCTCTTTCCATGCACGACGCCATTGCTCACTGAGTTATGTAAGCCATGCTGCCTCTTGGTCACCCCCCGGCCATCGTCACCCAGTCTTGCCTGCATTGCTGTCTGCCGGTGCTGCCTTACCCGAGTACTGTCATCTCTCCAGCTCCCTGAGCCATCCCCCTGCCTACAGAGAACATCAGAGCTGCATTTGAAAAATATTAACTCTGTACTTAGAACCCTCAGCACTCCATCCTTTCTTGGTCGACAGACCATCCAGTCTTGACCATGTGTGCCACCCACCCTTCCCTTGGTCCCTCCACAGACTCACAGTCTACATTCTCCCCCAATGGGGATGGCCAAAGCCACTCCAGTGTCACAGCCCTTGGACCCTCCACAGACTCACAGTCTACATTCTCCCCCAATGGGGATGGCCAAAGCCAGTCCAGTGTCACAGTTCAGGAAGCTTCCCCATCACCTCCTACCCAAGCCTAAGTCACATTCCCTTTTTGTTTTGTATGTTCCTTCAGCTCTATGTTCTTTTCCTTCATAAGACATCTGGGAATCTTTCTGTGTGAGAATTGACTCTTGAACTAGACCATAAACCCCAAGAGGGCAGGGGCCGTAACCTTTTGCTCAGCCTTGTGTCCTGAGCATTTAGCACGTTGCTGTGCAAAAATAGTAGTTGCTCAGTAAAATGTTGTCATGTAAGTGAATTGAGTAAAATTGCTGGAACTCTCACCGTTCTATACTTTTGTGTTTTGGTGTACTAAGGAATGGAAAGTGGGTTTGCTTGTATTAGAGGGGACTGCAGGTGGATTATGGGTTCCCAAGTCAGAAGTATCTAGATGGGGAGTGGTGGTTACAGTTCCCACGCACATTTCTCTCTGATTATATATGTCCAAAGGTCATTTTTTATTCTGGCTTAGTTCCTGGGAAAAGGATTTGTTTATGAAGAAAAAATAGTAAGTAATGAAGATTTTTTAAAAGGTCCATTCTACTGTCACAAACTGCTAAGTGACTCTCCCTCCATGCCACCTCTTGGGAGTGAACCTGGAATTTCTTTTCCCTTCGACAGGCCCTCGCAGCCAACGCTGGAACAGGGTTTGCTGTTGCTGAGCCTCAGATTGCAATGTTCTGTGGAAAGCTAAATATGCACGTGAACGTTCAGACTGGGGAATGGGAACCTGACCCGACAGGCACTCGGAGCTGCTTCGGAACAAAGGAGGAAGTTCTCCAGTACTGTCAGGAGGTAAGCGTGCTGCCAGAAACTTAAACGTTTCTGAGTCATGTTTGAACCTGTTTGCTTTAGAAATAGGTGCTCTGTCATTCTGCTGTTTTGACCTAAGACCAGGCTGGTGGTGATGGGGGCAGCAGGCTTCTGTTCTGAGTGTGCGCTTGGCCTGGGTGTGCTGGGAGCTCTCTGTCCTTTTTGGACGGAATACTGCAGAAGCTTGGCAGGGCCTTAGAAGTGCAGCCTGGTTCCCTTGGCTTCCCACATGTTATGGGAAGTTGTGAAACAAGCCCAGTGTCACGTGTGTGCTTGTGTTTTGCACTTGCTGGTAGAAGCCACGAGTATCATAAGGGATTATCTCATGTCTGATTCAACAGACTTTTTGGGTCAACGCTTGACGTAGAAAAGCGTATGAGATGTTTTAATTTCTTACCAAAACTAGCCTTTGGGGTCAGGGTTGGAATATTATTCTATAATTTCATTAACACACACTTCCATAGACTTGCCTCTTAAATGTTTTAGTTTTTGAACTCAGCTATTTACACACACCCTACAAGTGGACTTGATACCTAATAGACTTGTTTGGGGCTGAACGCTTGCTGCTTGTGTAGGTCTTTTTTCAAAGAGAATGTGTTAGAAGTGGTCCAAAATCTACCTGTCAAAAGAAAGCTAACAGTTACAGTATCTCTTTGCTTGATTAGTTCCGTTGGAACCAGGCAGCAGAGGGGACTTCAGCTTTACATAGGACGACGGGGAAGCTGAGCACGCAGACACTCGTCCTGGCTCACCAGCGAGCGTTCATCTTTTACGGACAAAGTCAGTCTACTGTGTGTGTTTCCTCTTCCCTTGCAGATGTATCCAGAACTACAGATCACAAATGTGATGGAGGCAAACCAGCCAGTCAGCGTGGACAACTGGTGCCGGAGGGACGAGAAGCAGTGCAAGACTCACATCGTGATCCCCTTCAAGTGTCTTGGTGAGCGTCTTGGAGCACCTCTGGGTTACTTCTCAGGAACACGGGGTCCCCGGTTTTACATTTCATCTTCTCCTGGCTCACAGTGAGATGTCGCCATCTGTCAAGAAGCCAAGGGCTGCAGGAACGTATTGGGGGGCTGTCTTTTGAATACTCACGGCTTTCTGGTGTCGATAAGTGACTTGTCTTTGATGGTCACTAACTCCACCTCTCCCGTCGTGGGCGTCCTCTGTTTTTTCAGGATGAACCTCTTCCACACCCCTGAGTGAGCGTGCTGCGCTCAGAGTGGTCCAGCTTCGTTCACACCGAGAGTTTGAAATTACTGTTGATAGTCCTGGGATCAGTAGTACCGAAGCAGCCGAGGGGTGGTCTTTCGTTCCCCTTTCTTTGCCCTACACACATTTTGCAAGCACCGAAATCCTGTATTGTTAGCCAGACCAGACCTGTGGCAGTTTTCAGAAGCCGAGGAAGTGAGTCGTAGCTGCCTGTAGACAGTCAGGGATGCGTCGGCCAGGCCCTGTGCCACCTGCCTGACTGAAGCCTCAGCTGATAAGGGTGTTTATGACTCTGTGTGTTTCTGTTAGCAGTCAGGCCTAACTCAAGTGCAGCCATAACATTTTATTACCCAGAAGTAGAGTCGCCGCTCCAAATGCCCTTTTAGTGAATGTGCTCATCCTGACCACTGAGCATTGACACATCTGAGTTACTTTCATGCGTCTGTTGCCTGACTGACTCAGGAACGGATTTCGTCGTAGCAACTTAAAAGGGCGAAACGATCAATTTTAGATGATCCGCGATAGGACTGACATAGATAGAGCACTAACATAACCTGGCTAGCTCTGCGGATGTATTTAATTTTAACCACTAACTTAACCTGTTCCCCTCCCTCCTTCATTAAAATCTTTCTGGGACTTCCCTGGTGGTGCAGCGGTTAAGAATCCACCTGCCAATGCAGGGGACACGGGTTCGAGCCCTGGTCTGGGAAGATCCCACATGCTGCGGAGCAACTAAGCCCATGCACCACAACTGCTGAGCCTGCGCTCTAGAGCCCGCGAGCCACAACTACTGAAGCCCGTGGGCCTAGAGCCCGTGCTCCGCAACAAGAGAAGCCACTGCAATGAGAAGCCTGTGCACCACAACGAAGAGTAGCCCCCGCTCACCACAACTAGAGAAAGGCCGTGCGCAGCAACGAAGACCCAGTGCAGCCAAAAATAAATAAATTTATTTAAAAACAACAACAACAAAAAAAACCTTTCCTAACATGGAACTCATTGCTTTCTCATTCTCACAGGTAACAAAGTAACAGGAAGAGGCAGCAGCTGAATAACAGTATTTACCGTAGCAGTTACTTTGTTTTAAAAGTGTTGAGTACGGGGGAAAAGAGGACAGGTGTGTGCTTAACACCATTTACTTAAAACTGAGCCCCATGCAGTAGTGTGAGGCTTGTGAATGGTTTTGTGTGGTGTGGTTTAAAGATGTTCTTTCATTCCCTTTGGCTGTCAGAAATCTCTGAGTATGAGGTTTCATTCGTTCTGTGTAAAATTCTCAAACTTAAGAGAGTACCCTTGAATATTCATACACGATAGATAGTACCTAGCAATCATTTTCTTCCTTTTGCACTGTCATTACCAGAGGTTTTGTGGCCTGGTCTTCCCAATCCTGCATGTTCTTTGTCACTTGTTGGCTCCACTACCCACCCAGGACTCTGAGCTGGAGATCTGGGAGACCTGTATCTCCCCACACCCAGCCAGTTCTCAAGGCAGCCTGATTTTTACCTCTTAAGAATGGCTTGTAACCATGGTTCCCAAACGGTGCACAAAGGCACCCCAGGGCACTAGGGATATTTTTGATTTTCAGGGAAAGCATGTCAGACATTGTGAGCTAGCTGGAGGCGTTCACGGTTTCAGCATCAGCTCATCCCGTTCCTTTCGATGACCTCATGTCTTTGTGGGGCTGCTTCTTAGTGGTTTCTGTGAGGAAAAGCCAGCATTGCACCAGAATTGCTGAAGGAATGGGGGTGATGGTGCTGAGTTTACTGCTGTGCAAGAGAAGCTGTGCAGTGCCCAGCAGGCACAAGGTGTCAGACACAGGTGCTTTTTACTAAGTTGTCGCCCTGACTACTTAACTTTTCGGCACCCTTTTGGCCTGGGCGGTGCTGTGAAAAAATTCCTGGGTCACCCAGAGAGTACCGTGACTGGGGAAACTTTGGGAACCTCCGGCTGGTCCGTCCGAGTCCCCTGCTCTAGCTCAGTCTTTTATCATTTCCTGCCTGGACTGTGAGAACCGCTTCTGCGTGTTTCTCAGTTCTGTTCAGTCCATTGCCCTCCCTGATCCAAAATGAAGACTGAACTGTCTCTCCTGCACATAAAACCCTTCAGTAGCTCTAGCTCTTCTTCACCTAAAAGACCAGGTGTAAGCGCCCTTAGCACAGTTTGGAAACTGCATGGTGTGGCCCTTGCTTAGCTCTGCTCCGTGCCCCCAACCCCTGCTTCATCCTCCCCACCCCTGCTCCATACTCCCACCACAGCACGTCCACCTCGTGGCTCCTGCTATGTGCAGTCTAGCTCCCCCTGGAGTGACTTTATGTACTCACTTTGCTTGGCGAGTTCTCCTTTTCACACGCATCTCAGGGACACCTCCTTTAAAGGAAGCCTTTCCTGCTGCTCTAATTTCTGTCTTGACGTCCAGGTTTCTCAGCTCCTCTTTGTTGCCGCCCGTGCCCCATCACCCTGCACGATGCCGGTCTGTTGATGTGTCTTTCTCCAGCTACACTCTGAGCACCTTGGGAGGAGGGCCACGGCTTTAGTCTTCTCTGTCCCCGCAGTCAAGACGGTGCCTGGAACTAGGATGCTCTCTGTTGATTACAAGACCACTACCATAGCTGGTGCACAGCGAAAATGTTCTTTTCTAAATGTTAGTTTGAGTTTTTCAGTGCCAGAGAACCAGACGATGCATGATATTGTCATTAACTAGATGCATAAAACAATTTGACCATAAACCATTCAATACCTTCTTTGCATTGTGGTCACTGAATAATGCATAATACAGTCTTCAGTGTTACTGAAGTTGTTGTGTTTACACAATTCAGACAGTTACTGTGTTTACAGCAGCATCCATTTGGACAACTTCTTAACCAGGAAGGAGAGCTACCTGTTGGTATTTTTAAATAAATAAAACAGTTGCCTGAGCCTAAGCTAGTAGGGGACCAGGTGACTGGAGTTTAAGGGAGGTTAGGAAGAAAGTACTGCCAATTCCTTGTAATCATTTGAGAAGCAGAAGATTGTAATGTCTCTCCGTCCCTGTCCCCACCCCTTTAGAGTCCCCAGGCACTGGTTAATTATCAGCATCACTTTCTTTTTACCATAGGCTCCTTAGAAAGCCTTTTGGTTCTAGTCTTTCAGGGTTACTTTTGCCTTTTTAACTTAAAAATAATACGGGACTTTCCTGGCGGTCTGGTGGCTAAGGTGCCGCGCTTCCATTGCAGGGGGCATGGGTTCGATCCCTGGTCAGGAAACGAAGATCCCGCATGCCATGCGGCATGGCCAAAAATAGGAAAAAAAAAATTAAAAATAATAACAGTTTTAAAATAATTTCAAGTTTACAGAATGGTTGCAAAAATAGTACAAAGAGCTTCCATTAAATCCTTTCCTCAGATTTTCCAACTGTTAACATTTGATTAATACGGTAAAATTAATCTTACCACTTGTATCTCCCCGCAGGTTTTGTTTTTGTTTTAAATCATTTAAGTTGTAGGCATGGTATCCTTTTATCCCTTAATACTTCCATGTATATTTTTTATAAACAAGGACATTCTGCTATGTAACTATAGTACAGCCGTCAAAATCAGGAAATTATCATTGATATACTATCTAATCTACAGACCCTGTTCAAGTTTCACCTGTTGTTCCAACAACACCAGGATCTAATTCATTGTTTCAATGTTGCATTTAGTTCTCTCTAGCCTTTCCTTGTCTTTCTTTTTTTGTTTTTTGATTTTTTTTTTTTTGTGGTACGCGGGCCTCTCACTGCTGTGGCCTCTCCCGTTGCGGAGCACAGGCTCTGGACGCGCAGGCTCAGCAGCCATGGCTCACGGGCCTAGCCGCTCTGCGGCATGTGGGATCTTCCCAGACCGGGGCACGAACCCGCGTCCCCTGCATCGGCAGGCGGACTCTCAACCACTGCGCCACCAGGGAAGCCCCCTCCTTGTCTTTCTTAACTTTGGTGTTTAGAGTACAGGCCAGTGACTTTGTAGAATGCAATTTGGGTCTGTCTTAGGATCATTTTGATTTGTGTGTTTTTGAGGGCACTGTCATAGAAGTGTTCTCTCTGAATCCTCTTAGGAATTGCATGATGCCACTTTGTTTCATGACCGGTGATAACTTTTATCACCTGGCTAAGATGGTGTCTGCATTCATTTATTCATTTCATTATGGACTCACTGTCCAGATTTGTCCAGTGGGTCCCCCTTCATGCTGACTCCTGTGTCTTTTTGCTATGTCCCTATTATTCTCTGAAAGCTTCCTTACTTTCTGGTACAAAAAGATGCTCCAGGCTCATCCTGTGTTCCCTGCCCCACCCTTGGAGTCAGCCATTTCTCCAAGAAGAAATGGTTTTATTTAGTGGGGAATGGTATTTAGGTATTAGGTGTGTTTACTGCTATTATGTTATTGCTTCTAGGCCCACTCAGCAGACAGACCTGTGAAATACATTTATATACACATATTCATGCACATATAAATCTATATTTCTATACATGTGGATATTAAAAGCAGTGAGCTCATATCGATACTTCCAATCCCATTATCCTCAGTATATTTATTTATTAGCTCAGTATTCCCTGTAAATAATCAGTCTCTCTGCTTCTTAAAAACAGATTTATTGAGATATATTTCACATACTATATAATTCATCCATTTTAAAGTGTACTGTTGAATGGTTTATAGTATATTCACTGAGTTACACAACCATACACAATTCTTTTAACATACAAACTACTAAAAATT